AACTATATGTGACTTTAATGTTTCAAGAATTACAGCTTGAGCCTAAAGTGTGTGCAAGCCAGGGGAGGAAGGTCCAGGAGAGAAAATCAAGCCGGTGAACACACTATTCTGAAAAGGAGCAAGGTGCCATTTAAGAAGTAAGAGAAGAGATGGTTGAAGCTCATAAATACGATTCAAGGACAGCAGACATCACCAGAGAGAAAGGGAGATGTCTGGGCAGTATAATGGCTACGTCTCAGATTACCTTTTGGGATTCCCTGATGAAACTCCCTAGGGGAAGGTGACTGCAATGGAGTAGCAAAGTCTCTGGACCACTGAGGTAATAAGGTGTCAGCAGCATTTGGCCCACAGCTTCTGCAAAATTCGATGCCAGGGCCTGTAGCTGGGGTGGCTGCAGCAGCTGCAGAGGGTCCTGGGATGGACCTCTATAGCAGTACATATCCTCAGTGGACACCAGCAGAACAAACAGTCACTTTGGGCATTGGCAGCTTTAGCAAAGACCGCAATATAGTGATCTGACACAGAAGCAAAGGAAATGATCCAACCCATAGAGCAATCAGAGAAAGGGCATGAGAGACACCCCTAGAAGGTTATAGGCCTAACTGCAAAGAATTAACTTCCCACACTGTTGTTAGAATCTGAGGAAAAATAATAATTATAAGATACATCATTGTGGTTGTCTTACCCCTCGGCTGATATAATGTAGGAATTTAGGTTACATGGCAAATTGTTTAGAACTAAGTTTTCTTAACAAGCCACAAAACTTTTCTAACACCCCGTCCTTCCCCCAGGATTTGCTGATCTTATTTTTAATGTCTTCTAAAGTTGCTTCACACTGAAAGAATTAGAAATACTTATGACTGCACTTAACTGGAAACCCAACGAAGGGATGAGGAGGCTAAACAAATAAAAGTTTATTTCTCACATAACAAGAAGTCTGGAATTGGAGTTCTTCTGGATTTAGTTCAACAGTGCAGTAAGGAGAAATAAGACACAGAGATCAAGTCTGCTTTTGTGGCCGGAAGAAGGTGGAGCTGGGAGGGCGGAGCCAAGGATGCACGAGGAAGACCTATTTTTTTCAAGAAACAAAAGCACCAAGAGATTTCCATTTAAATTTCCTGGGCCAGTACTGCACTGAATGCTCTTTTAGCTACAAAGGGGCCTGGGAAAATTCCCATATAACGTTTCTACCTTTTACAGTGAAAGGAGACAAGAGAGAAATAGAGAATGGTGTTGGGTAGGTCTGCCCACAGTGTTTACCTCAAACATTAGACTGCTCTTCAGAAACTCAGGATTTTTCAGGCAATTGAATTTGCACATCATTTCTTCATGCCTGTTCAGTAAATTTGGGGTGAGAGATAAATACAATCCCTTATCTTTTCATTGAAAACCACATTTACAAAGCCTGTGGTTTTCAAATCTGGTTGTGTGTATGATATAACATTTTGGGTAACTCAACTTTACACAAAAATCTGAAAAAAAAATTTAGAGCCCTGATGTTCAACAACTCCTGTAATAGAAAGAGCGTTCGAATTTTAGCCTGACGGACATATTTTCACAGTTTGGCCCAAGTCACTTTCTAGATGTGAAATTGGATGGTTAATATCTACTGTGGCTGGTGGCCCACTATCCCCGCCTCCTGGCGTTCATACCCTTGAATAGTCCCCTGGCCCAGTGTTTCAGTGTTGATCCGTATGACCCAGAGACCATGATAAAAGTTCAAAGATCAAGTTATCTTCCAAGATTGAGTTATGAAAGACTGCAGTTTCTGTCTTGGGTTCTGTCTCTTTCAAATTTCCCAATCTAGAAGAAGTCAGCTGGCACATCTTCAGGACATCCAGGCAACCCTGTGGAGAGGCCTCTGTGACTAGGAACTGAGGTCTTTACTGCAACACCTGTGAGTAACTGAGGCCTGCCAGTAACCCAGAGAGTGAACTTGGAAATTAACATCCTCTTGCATTCAGATGACAGCTACCCCAGCCAGCACCTTGACTCCAACCTCAGGAGAGACCATGAGCCAGAACCATTCAGCTAACATGCCCCCTTAGTCCAGACCTTCAGAAACTGTGAGATGAAAGTTCCTGATTTTAAGCTGCTAAATTTGGGGGTAATCTGTGGTACAGCTCAAGGTAACTAATGTAACTTTTTAAAATGTTAGTGTCATCATCTATAAACTGGAGATATATCTGCCCAGTGCAGTTCCTGCAACATAGAATAATTAAGTTAACAAATATTTATTTGTAGCCATTTTCACATGGTCGCTCTTTCAGAACTCCTTTCTGTTTTTAGATTAGCACAATTTTTAAAACCGCTTCTACCCTTTGCTTCTCCCTACTGCTAGCGTGGAATATATGTTGTGGAACACAGCTGGCTCTGTGGCAGTGTCCTAGCACTCTACTGCACCGCAGAGGGTTTTGTTAGTTAGGTCACTTGTGTTTAATAATAAATGTCTTTTCCAGAATGCTAACCTGTAGGATCTGATAAATCTTCAGTGGGCCACCAACTAAATAAAATATTGCTGTAAATAGATCCTGCCTTCTAGTGATTTTAATATCATTCCGAGAATGCAGGGATATAAGGAATACATGATAAAAGTGCCCACTCACCACACACTCTGCGGAGTCGTCCAGCCTTACTTCATTTTGTCCCCTGTCCTTGCCCCTTTGCACTGCTCCATCCATTTCTAATTATGGATGCCAGGATTGTGACTGCTGCCAACTTTGCTACGCAGCCTCAGGTCATCTCTGCTATTTTTCCTCTTCCTCTTAAAAAATTACTTTCTTGGGGTGCCTGAGTGTCTCGGTTGCTCAGGCTGCAAACTTGATTTCGGCTCAGGTCATGGTCTCCTGGTTTGTGAGATGGAGCCCCGCATAGGGCTCCATGCTGGCAGTGCGTGGAACCTGGTTCTGATTCTCTCCCTCTCTGCCCCTCCCACGATTATGCTTACTCTCTCTCAAAATAAGTAAACTTTAAAAAAAATTCTAAAAAATTACTTTTTTATTTCTTGTCTATGCTAAGTTTATACTTGAGTTCATTTATGTCCTATAAAGTGTACATGGGAATTATAAAAATGTATATATCACATATATGCATGTGTATACGTATAAATGTGTGTGTGTATATGTGTATGTGTGTGTGTAATTAGAATACTCTCTTTTTGGCCAGCATAGCATGCGGGGAATAATTTTTAGTTTGATGAACTAACTTCATTATCATCTGTTGCTAGATGCTCAGGACCTGCCTCTTTGTGCCAAAGGAGGGTTTTGTTGTTGTTGCTGTTGCTCTGTTTTTAAGTTTTCTCTGCCTCTGCAGTGTTTCTAAAAGTCTGAGGGTTCGGGGTGCCTGAGTGGCTCAGTTGAGCGTCCGACTTCCGCTAAGGTCATGCTCTCACAGTTCGTGGTTTTGAGACCCCCCATCAGGCTTTGTACTGACAGTTCAGAGCCTTGACCCTGCTTCAGATTCTGTGTCTCCCTCTCTCTCTGCCCCTCCCCTGCTTGCTCTCTGTCTCTTTCTCTCTCAAAAATAAACAACATTTAAATAAATAAAATAATAAAGTAAAATAAAATAAATAAAAGTCTGAAGGTTCTGGAGCACCTGGGTGGCTCAGTTGGTTAATCATTTGACTTTGGCTCAGGTCATGATCTTATGGCTCATGAGTTCAAACCCTGTGTCAGGCTCTACAATGACAGCTCAGAGCCTAGAGCCTGATTCAAATTTTGTTCTCCTTCTCTCTCTACCGCTCCCCTGCTTGCTCTCTGCCTCTTTCTCTCTCTCAAAAATAAGCAAACATTTAAATAAAATAAAATAAAATAAAATAAAATAAAATAAAATAAAATAAAATAAAGAATAAAATAAAATTCTGAGGGTTCTGGGGCACCTGGGTGGCTCAGTTGGTTAATCATCTGACTTCGGCTCAGGTCATGAGTTCAAACCCTGAGTCAGGTTCTATGATGACAGCTCAGAGCCTGGAGTCTGCATCAGATTTTGTGTCTCCCTCTCTCTCTGCCCTTCCCCTGTTAGTGCTCTGTCTCTCTCTCAAAAATAAAATAAAATAAACATTTTTAAAAAATAAAAAAAAGTCTGAGGGTTCTGAAATACTGGTTTCTAGAGAGCAGAGATTTTCCTGTGGTATTATTTATAGGTCCCAGGCTCTCACCCTGTAATTACCGATAAGCCCAGCCTCTCATTTGATGGTCGCTTTGCTCCATGTCTTGCTCTTCCCCTCATGACCAACAATCTTGTGTAATCTAGTAGATAGAGCTCATTACAAATGCAACTGAGAAAATGAATGAATCACAATATGACTGTTCTTTACCACAAAATGTTGAGTCAAAAATACCAGACACAACCACATACACAACTATTTACATAATGTTCATAAAAAAATAATTTAAACTATTTTGTTCATTCTTGTGTATCCAGGAAATCTATGTGTATAAAAAGAAAATAAAAACTAGGGGTGCCTGAGTGGCTCAGCCGGTTGGGCCTCTGACTTCAGCTCAGGTCATGACCTCACTTTCCTGGCTGGGTTTGAGCCCCGCAGGGGGCTCTGTGCTGACAGATCAGAGCCAGAGCTTGCGTTGGATTCTATGTCTCCCTCTCTCTCTGCCCCTCCCCTTCTCATTCTCTGTCTTTTTCTGTCTCAAAAAGAAATAAAACATTTAAAAACATTTTTAAAAAGAAAAGAAAAGAAAAACTAATGATTAGCCCTGGGAGGAAGGGGAGGAAACTGTAGATATGAATGCGTTGTGGAATGAGGGTTGGGGACAGGAAAGGCTACTTAAGTTGTGGGACCAAATGCAAAGACAGATGTGGGGTATTTTGTTCAAAATTATTAAGAATTTCAAGACACAGCAGTAGGGCATTCAGGCAGCGAGGGACCCTGCTCAGCGCCAAGCCTGATGCCACCACTCATTCACGTTATACCCCCATGAAGACAGCCCTGCCTCAGGAACTTCCGGGTTCTGCACTAATGATTTATTTTTTTTTCCCCCTGGTAGGAGAAGAGTCACTTATACAGGAATTCGTTTCAGAAAAAGCCAGATGCCAAACATCTATGAGGTATGTACTTTTCTGGAAGTTTATTCCATTTTACAACTTTTTAAAACTGAAAAACAAAAACAAATCAAAACTGATCTGAGCACTTCCCGCTCTAAAACCTATATAGTGGGTTCCCATGGATGAGAACGGCTGTGGCCGGATGCTTTCCCCTGTATCCTCATTGTTGCAAGCCCAGCTCACATGCCAGCTCATCTATGAAACATCCTCGATTTTTTTCTTCAAAATTAACCGTTTCCTTCCTTCTGCTCCCTATATACTTTCTCCCTTTATTATAGTATTTAATTTCTCTGCTTCGAGGTTGAGTTCTTCGAGACTGTTTTTTTTTTGGGTTTTTTTTTTTTTGTTTTTTTTCCCCAATGGACCTGACATCTTGGGAAGATATTTCATTCTTCCTCCTCTTCATAGTTGGGACCCTACAGGGAGTAAGATTCATGACTGTTGAATTTAATTAAAATTATATTTAAAGATTGTCATAACCTATTGTAAAACCTAAAACACTCAAATTCCTACACGATGCCACATCCTTAAACTATGCAATGATGCAGCTTAACAAAGGTAAAGGCTCTTAAGATATGTTTATTCACCTGGTGAAAATTTGAAATAGGTATACCAAGCGTTTAATGATCTCATCCAACATTTTTCTGTTTCACATCTGAGATGAATCTCTTAGACATCTTTTTTAACACTGTTTTAACATCGTAAATTTAATATTGTGAGGTACTTTGTATGTAACAGACACCCTAGATACCATTTTCACCAGGAACACATAACACATTTTAAAAACTACTGCCTACTATTTTCTTTGATTTTTGTTGTTGTTGTTCTTGGCGTATTTTAGCTTTCACAAACCCTTTGGGCTCTCTTGATAAACATGTGACTTGGACATTTTCTTACAACAGACAGATGGGTGTGTTCTCTGGGTATTATTTCTAAAATGAAGAAAATGTTCCCCTTTACCAGCATCTGGGTAAGATTTGAAGTTCTGTCACGGATTTAAAATATAGACAGAAATAATCATCTCTCTTCCACATAAGGTGTCTCTGCAAGTAATTTTTTATCTCTTTTCTTTTCCTATGCCAGCTTTGAAATCACAAATGAAATATGGGTTCAGAAAAAAAACACTATATAAAACACTATTTGGACATTTCTTTTCATCATTCACTTTAATGGATGTTCTCCAATCGTACTATCCAGATGGCCAGGTTACAAGTCTGTGGTAACATAAAAGCTTTTTATATAATATGTAAAACACTGATGAATAGACTTCTAAATGTATATACAACTAAGTATATTTTATTCATCTTTGCACATAATCTCATTGTACAAAGCCTACCAAAGTGAATTATAACATTTGGCTGGCAAACATATGGTTACGAACTCAGTGACATAGACATGCAGTAAAAACATTCAGTGAAAAATGTCTACCGTTTCTACAGGATAATTCAATTTAATTGACACAGAGATTTTAAATGACTCTCCTTTTGCTCTGCCAAGTAATCAGACACAAAAGAAAAAAATCAACTCCTTAGTCTTTGCCAAAGACGATCACAGAGAATGTGAAATTTCATTAAAGGATTATTTATGCCATGTTTATGCCATCCTCTTGACAACATTTATCAACAAGTGACTGGAGATCAATACCCACAGGTGTAATAAGACATCTATTTTTAGGTGTTTTTTTTGCTTAAATGTTTCATTCCTTAATAAACCCCAAAGTACAACATTGGGATCCTGGGCTTTCACTGCTTGGGATTTTTCTTTGCTATTTCCTTTGCCTGGGATACTCTCCTTCTAGCTCTTCCCACAGCTGGTTTCCTCTCATCCACTGAGATGTCACCTTTTCAGAGAAGCCATACCAAGCCCTACCTAAGTTAACTGTTTCCCTTCTCCCTGAATCACGTAGCCAGGAGTTAACGCAAAGGGCATGTCAATCCATTCAGGCAACTCTAACAAAGTACCACAGACTGGGTGGCTTCTAAACCACAGGAATTTATCTCTCACATTCTGGAGGCTGGAAGTCCAAGATCAGGGTGCTAATATGGTTGGGTTCTAGAGAAGATCCTCTTCCAGTTTGTTGACTGCTGACTTGTCTCTGTGTCCACACACGTCTGAACGGGCTAGGGAGTCCCATGTGGGCTAGGGAGCTGTCTTTAATAAGGCACTAATCCCATTCGTGAGGGAGGACCTAAGTACCCCCTAAAGGTCCTACTTCCTAATACCATCACATTGGGCATTAGGATTTCAATGAATGAATTTTGGATGGAAACAAACATTCAGACCATAACAAGGCATGTCTACAGGCCAAATCTGACCCTCTACTTGATTTTGTATAGTTCATCAAGCTAAGAATGGTTTTAACCTTTTTTTAATAGTTAATAGTCAAACGTGCTATTTTACGATATGTGAAAATTGTAGGAAGTTCACATTTCAGGCTCCATAAATAAAGTTTTATTGGAACACAACCAAGCTGGTCATGTATAGGGTATATGGCTATGTTTAGGTTGTAAGGGCAGAGTAGAATAGGTGCCACAGAGACCATATCATCCGCCCACTGTCTATATGGCTCTTCACAGGAATATTTTGTCACTTCTTCAGGTAGGTTATTTCAATACCCAGCTTGTTAATTTAATCAGCTGTTTATTCAATCTGTAATTATGATTTTTAATTTATTAATTCACTTGTTTATTTATAAGCCTAATGAGGGCAAGGACATTGTCTAGCTCCATTATGCCCGGATCACTAAGCAAGTAGATATACTAAGAGAAGTATAATAAATATTTGTTGACTATAAAATAAATACATAGGACGATAGCCTCTAAGATGAGGCACCTTACTTTATTTCCATATTGTTCTATATAGGTGAGCCAGAATGGGGTGGGGGGGGGCATTTCTTTTTATAATCAAGAGAAACCATTTATAATGTTTTAAACCACATACAAAGGTATGTTCATAGAATAGGAACAGCACTATCTATGGACATTAAGTTTTACTTTGAGTTCTCTAATTTCTGGAAGGCTTCCAGAGTATGATACATGCTAGAACCATATAGAAATTGGGTGATTCCACTGTGGTTTCACTTGTGGGTCAGATGCAAGCTCCCAGAGAATAGAGATCTTCTTCTCAGGTCCTATGTCCAAGAAGATTCCTTCCCCACTAGCAGTGCCCTTTACTGAGTATATCCTTTTGCTCATTTAGAGGCCTGACTCCTACACCTTCTCTTTTATTTGGAGCTGATCTGTTTCTTAGCAATGCCAGAGGTCTTGAGTTCTTACTCATTAGCAATTTAACCTTAGAAATTAGCTAGAGTCAGTAGCAGAGACATATGCCTTTTAACTTGGATTAAGATTTAGGAGATTTCCTGCATGGATCTAAGTTTCCAGAATCCTTCGCCCCCCCCCCCCCCCGCATGTTAAGTGGAGAATATACTGTCCCATGTGCTAAGGAGAGTGTGCTCAGATGTCTTTCCATGATCCAGACTCAGGCTCCACACTACCCTGCCCTTTATTAAACCATAGAGTCTAGAGAGTAGAGTGACCTTGACACCAAGGGAACCTTGCTATTTAGGAATCACAGAACAGTGTCTCAGCATCACAGTTGGCAGTCACTATTTTGGGAGGTCATTTCATGAAGAGAAAAACTATCATTTAACTAACACTTTACTCTCACTTAAATAGTGGCATGAATATGGAGTTGGTCTTGTTCTACGAAATCTGGCTCATGGGTTGTACGCTGCTGTGGAGCTGTGTTGGGGAGCAGGTCATGCTAAAGTAAGGCAAGAGCCTCATAAACCTAAGTGATTTTTATTTATATTCACTTAAACGTATGGAATATTAGCTGGTCTACTTGGTGCTGTTAGGTGACTCACCAGCCAGAGTTTAATAAAATGTACTCCTGCAGCTTCTGTTGAGCTTTGCTGCATGTTCATAAAACCATGGGTTGTTTTGTCTGTGCATAGTAGCATTTTAATGCAAAGAGCATGTCTATCTCTCGTGTTCAGGGGGGAAGCAGTGGGGGAAGCTTCACTGATAGCCTTCACAAGAAGGTGACTGGCTATAAATTTGAATAATTCTTAGGACACCTAAAGTGAATTTCATGTATGCGTATAATAGAAACCAGACCATCCCAAATATACTCTCCAAATTTCATAAAAGCAATCTGGCCAGTCATGTTTGAATGATGGGTAACTGAGAAAAATCTTTGATTTGTTTATAAATATTACATAGCCTTAGAATTTTATAAGCTAAAATGCATAAGAAAGACATATATGTGCACTCAGGGGTAGGGTGATTTTCTGTACCCTCACTTCAGATGTTCACATTTCAGCTGAGTGTACAGTGTGTGAGATGTACAGTACTGAGAAGTCTGGGATTGATTTTAGGGAGGAAAGGAGTGCAGGCGACCTTATACACGGGAACTTCCCCTTGAGCAGTTGGTACCTTTTCTCCTGGTGGACAGTGTGAATCATGTTTCCCCTTTTTCTTTGGCCTCAAGGAGATAAATTCAAAACTCATCTTTCATTCTGAAGTTTCAAATTGTTTAAAACCTGAAGGGCTGTCTCTCTGGGCTCTGACTTTTCTGCTTGAATATCCTGGAGAGGGAGCATATCATGCTGCCCTATTAGATCTCTGAGTTCTCTCCATTAGTAGAATAAAAGCATCAGGAAACGTTAGTGGTTTTCAAATCCTTTTGGAGCAGTGTTCCCATGGCCTTCTCCAAAGGGAGGAAGGACCCAGGATGGACCTCAGGCTCTTCCTCTTCAGTTCAAAAGCAATCACCACGCCACGTTAGCTCATTTACACTGTAATAAGACAAGACTTTCTTAAAATAAAAAAATAAAATATGACACGACTTTCTTGGGACAAAACATAAGTAGAATTTGAGCAGTCTTGTGTCTCGTAATTTTTGAGGCCTCTTTCTGCTTTAAAAACTTTTAGACTGAGATTAGGAATCAAAAGACTGGAAATCTAATTCAGGATCTTCCACTAACTTCCTGTGTCATT